TGTGTGTGTGTGTGTGTGTGTGACTTTGCAGCAGGGACAAATGAGGCTGAGGGGGATGGAGGAGCCCGATGTGTTGGTGATGTGGCGAAACAGTTGGAGCTGCAGATGCTGGAGGACAAAGAGCGAGAGGAGGATGGAGAAGAAGGTAACTCCTGACCATCTTCATCATCATCATCACCATCATCCTCATCATGATCATCATCACCTTCTGCTGCGGTGATCGTGCTGAACTTTTAAGTACCAGAAAGTGAAATTCAGTCGGTCATATCTGCAGTGAGATATAAGATTTTTAGTAGCACACTGGGAGCTGTGCCACTTACTGAATTGAAACTAATGACGCTTTCAACAGATGGGGATGAGGGAGAGAACTCGGCCGGGAAGAAGAAGAAGAAGAAGAAAAAGAAGAAAGGATGTAAGACTTTTTTGTTCTCTTACTGAAACACATCTCCACAATAACAGACAACTTTTCCCCCCGCCTTTTAGACCACAGGTTCTGCAAGAGCCTTGTTTCTCCAAAACTAAATTAACCTCCTGAATACGCAGCTTCACATTTATCACACAACAGGTGCACAGAAGCAGTTTGACCTGGTTAATCGGTGTCATGATATTTGTGCGATGCAGGACTGACTCAGGTGCAGGACACAATGCAACAGGACCTTACATGTCGAGAAGACGGGACAAAATTAATGACGGCACGTTTGACATTTCAGACAAATTCAGCAAGTTTCAAGAAGAGTCACAGTTTGGACTGAGGGAACTGAAATTAAGTAATCCCATAAATGTGCCACATAATTATCATTCCAACCTGTGGTATAATACAAGTGCTATAGTATTTGTACAGTTCTTTTAGATTAAATTCTTTAGGGTGTCTCACATAATTAGATCTGTAAGTCAGGGACCTGAGGATTATTCTTCAGCGAAGGCAAAATATCACTGTCATGAACACAGGAAGGATAACTTGTGTTTTCTTCTCTCTCTCCTGCTGCTCCTCTGCGTCTCCTCCTCTCTATCTGGGCCACAGTGAAGGGACAGACTGACCCTCCCTCAGTCCCCATTTGCGAGCTGTATCCCAACGGAGACTTTCCAAAGGGAGAGGAGTGTGAATACCCCCCCTCAAAAGACGGGTGTGTGACCTCCACGTCGTCCCTCACACTCAGCAGTGGTCGTCCACTGTGTGACATGCCCAGTGGTTATTTGCTTTGCACTTTATTCACGTTTGATATCATAATGAGGTGCAGTGTTTAATTTCCTCTTCAGGGGGAGGTAATGTTGTCATATTTGTCCTCACCTGTGCAGAGTGTGTCACATCCTCATTATGAATATTTGTATAATGAGAAAATAATGAGCGCCACCACCCTCTGTGATGTGCCTGTCTACCCCCCCCCCCCCCCCCCCCCCCCCGTCAGGCGCAGTGCAGCATGGCGGACCACCAGCGAGGAGAAGCGGGCGCTGGACAGGGCCAACGAGGAGATGTGGAGTGATTTCAGGCAGGCGGCCGAGGCGCACCGACAGGTCCGCTCTTACGTCAGGAGCTGGATCAAACCAGGGATGGCCATGATTGACATCTGGTGAGACAAACTGAAATTGCATCCTCAAGCCCCTTGTAAGAGACGTAAATCTTGGCTCCTCATGCTGATTCTAGACTGATAAGATAAGATTGATAAGATTTCCGCACTTCTTTGTCTTAGAAACAAGCAGGAGAGCTGCTGTGTCTCTTCAAATGCCTGACAGACAACAGTCTCATCGCTCCTGTCACCCGTTGTCCCTCTGTGCTGCTCTGTTTCAGTGAGAAGCTGGAGGACTGCTCCAGGAGGCTCATTAAAGAAAACGGGCTGGAGGCCGGTCTGGCCTTCCCCACCGGCTGCTCCATCAACCACTGCGCTGCCCACTACACCCCAAACGCAGGAGACCCCACCGTGCTGCGCTACGACGACGTCTGCAAAATTGACTTTGGAACACACATCAACGGTGAGAGCCCAGTAATACATTTTTATGTGCTTTTGGAGTTAAGCTGTGCGGTTTCACACTTGGCATTTATTATAAATAGTTAAATGAATGATTGCATTATAGTTCTTACTGCCCTGAATAAGCTGTTCTCATAAATGAATCACCTCATGGCAACTGCTGTGAGTAATCAGAGGGTTTGGTCTTTCAGGTCGGATAATAGATTGTGCCTTCACCGTCACATTCAATCCAAAGTATGACCGGCTGCTGGAGGCTGTGAGAGATGCAACAGACACTGGCATCAGGGTAACACGGCTCTCTCTGACACACAGGAAGCTTACAAGATACACAACATCCAGCACAAAGCTTATACAAGTATCCAGAGCACATTTTTCAGATCTAGATCACAGCGTATTAGAATCAAAAATCTAAAATAACTGAAGAACTTCTATATGGATCTAATTGGCTTCCAGGGAAAAGTCTTAATGGGACTTGATGTGACACAAATATGGTAAAATAGAGTTATCATAAAGAAATGGTGGATTCCTCTGAACACGATGTACAACTTGATAGGAGGGGACACACAAATAGCAAGAAATATATATAATAAGTAAATGATGATTAAGATAGACAGGTACAAGACCAGATGCAGTGGCAGATAGAATAGAGTTAATGGGTACTTATACAGTAGAGATAACATACACTATAAAATTAATGCAAGTCAAGTGAGATAATTCAATCGTTTACATTCAAAATCTCACTAAAGTCTCAGTATATTATCTCTTCTAAAATAAGGAGCATTTAAAACAGTTATCATAGGTTGAATATTATGTAGTACCTGTAGGGAGTATATTACAATCCAAAGTACAATGGCACATACCTCCGCCGGGCCCAACAGTTCCTTTTCTGTACCTTGACGCATCCGTCCATCCGAGTTTAATCCATCCAGTAGTTTTGTTCACAATCAAACCAACAAACAAACAGACAGGGGTGAAAACATAACCTCCTTGGTGTAGGTAACAAACTCATATAGGGCAGGTGGAGACTGCACACTTTTAAGTATTATTTACAGAGACCCAACGACTCCCAACAATTACCTGTCGACAGATTTTTACATTTACATTAACTTTTTAATAATTCAGTTATACTTATAACCTGATTCAAGGCTCAGGATCGATTCATTATTTTGTCCATCACATCATTCATACCTACAAGCTCATATCCTGGTTTATTAACACATTATCTACCTGTCAAGTAACCTTATATGATATACTGTACAGCCCTCAGGAGTTTCTGTAGCTGTAAAAACCTTCGGTCTGTGTTTGCACGAGGAACATAATGTAATTTACTGACGTGAGCGTGGACACCTCTTTGTCCAAGTTTGCAGGAATCGACGTGCGCTTGTGTGACGTCGGTGAGACGATCCAGGAGGTCATGGAGTCTTATGAAGTGGAGATAGATGGGAAAACATATCAAGGTAATGTGAGGTCATTTGTCATCTTTTCTTCAAATGCAGGGTTAGTGCTTCTTTAATAAACCTCAGTGTGGTGTTCTCTTTACAGTGAAGCCAATCAGGAATCTCAACGGCCACTCCATCGGACAGTACAGGATACACTCAGGGAAGACAGTCCCCATTGTTAAAGGTGGAGAGGCCACGAGGATGGAGGTTTGTACACCATCAATCACTGCACATGACTTACTCTGTTCAAATGACCTACGCCAATATTTACTAATATTTATAAGTGTATGCAAATAAAAATCCATATCTAGTGAATTTAAATGTGGTTTCATAAGGAGAGGTATGCACTTTACTGGCTGTAGTTTAAATTGTGCGAGTGTCTGAAATTAAACCATTCTGAGCTGCTCGACCTTGCATATAAATTTACCCTTTTTCAGTTCTTATGTGTAATTGCAGGTACTTGTGGCTGGTTATTGGGTTATTATGAGGTGTGGAGATATGTTCTAATGCTCTGCTCTAATGGCTTCTTAGTCACCCTCACCCGCACTTTAATTACGCCTATAATGGAATTACCGGCAACACGTGTTAAAACCCCAGCTCCTCATTTCACTACAGCAGCACTGTAATGTGGGCGTCCAGGGTTCATTAACAGGCCTCTGCTTCACCAAGGAGAAACATGGAGATGCATGCCTGTGTCACTGCGTGCATTTGGGCAGAATTGAGTATGTTAATTGGCAAGTTGCTGTGTTAAGCTTTTTTACCTGATGGTTCCAGAAGAGGGGAGGTGGAGTGGTGGCTGCTGATGTGGCAGCTTTGCGTGTGGTATTTTTAGCTGAAGTGTTTTTTTTGTTACGGGGACATTAACCCTCTTTGTGATCAGAGAGCGAGTGCACAACTGGAGCGGCAGCTGGGCGTGCCACGGGGCCGCGAGCACTTTGACTGATTATCGTGGAGTGACAGAGGGTGTCGCAGTGTTATCAGCTAATACCATAGGCTTTCTAACAACAGCCACGCTCCAATAGAGACTTACAAACGCTGATGAAACTCAGCCAGTCAACATACAAAAAAGGGCACTGATGTCCTTAATAGACTACGTGTGAATATGTTAGTCAACTGACAACTTCAGGGTTGTGTTACATTTACTCTCAGTACCCCTGAGGTGTTTTTGTCCTTTTTAGTGTCATATCTGATTTAGGCCTTCACAAAGGTATATATGCTGTATATAGATTTAGATGGGTGAGTTTTTTATTTCTGTCTTTCCTCTGCCTCTTCAGGAAGGTGAAGCATACGCCATTGAGACATTTGGCAGCACGGGAAGAGGTGCAGTCCACGATGACATGGAGTGCTCACATTACATGAAGAACTTCAATGTCGGACACGTGCCAATAAGGTTCATCTCATCCATGTGTTGAAATCCAAAATATTGAGTCTGATAATTAATCCACCATTCTAATAAAAAAAAGCATCTTACGTTACTTCACATCTCTAGATCCATCCTACAGCTTGTTTTCACTTTTGACTCGTGTGCCGCTTGTGCCGCAGACTCCCGAGGGCTAAACATCTGCTGAACGTGATCAATGAGAACTTTTGCACCTTGGCGTTCTGCCGCCGCTGGCTGGACCGCCTGGGCGAGAGCAAGTACCTGATGGCATTGAAGAATCTGTGCGACCTTGGCATCGTAGACCCGTACCCGCCCCTCTGCGACATCAAGGGCAGCTACACCGCCCAGTACGAGCACACCATCCTACTCAGGCCCATCTGCAAGGAGGTTGTGAGCCGGGGAGAGGACTACTAGAACGGCATGACAGCTCAAAGACAACAAACCTCTTCAGACTGACAGCAATTATGCAATATTTCTCTGAACTAAATTTCCACTGCTAGAGAACCTTTAGGTAAATGTTAGCAAGAGCAACAGACTTGTGTCATGGCAGCAGCTTACTAGTATTTTGTTTTTCCAAACTATTAAGCCAGTAGACAAAAGGACATATCTTTAAGAAATGTAGTGTTGTCATTTAAGTTACATGTTGATGTGCTGCTTTTAGCAAATATGCAAAATATATAAATATATGCAAGAGAATCATGCAAAAAGATTTTGGTGAACACTTTACCCAGAATGCTGTGCTTCATTCCTGTATAGAAATAATTATATTTCTATATTTCTTTGCTCTATTACTAATTTGAGGCAGTTTTTATAAAAAATAAATTGTTATAAATCTTGCACTGAATGCTGTGTCCATGTTTGTACAGCTTCACATATCTGTCTGTCTGTCTGTGTCTTTCCATCCACCCATCCATCCATCTGTTTAGTACTACTGTTAGATATTAGAATGTCAGGCGTTAATCATTTTTATTTATATTTATAATAAACACTGAACATCATAACCTTCATGAAGGTGGGACTGCTGCATTAAGCAGCATTAGTTTTAACTAACTGTTTCTAATAAAAAGTCGATTTGATGTCAAATCACGTCATAGTGTATTTCTCTCTTTCAACCAAAGGAGGGCGGTACTAAAACATGGGTCAAACATGAGTCCGCGACCTCCTACTCAGACGTTACAGGCTATTCATAACCTCATGCTTCAGCATAATGTGACCATGGAATGAAAGAGACATTTCCCAAAAGCATTAAGAATGAGCTCACTGACAGAGTTTATGCAGATTTGATTAAAAAATACATATAGGACACACAGAAATAGCATAAGAAATGTGACATTGATGCTAGGTGCACCCTAAATCACCACTTGGTCCTTTATGAGAAAAAAAACGTTTCCTGCTCATTTTCTCTTATTTTGGTAAAGACTTTGGGACAAGGACATCGGCGGTGATGTAATGACTGAGGAATGCATCATGTCTCCTCACGCAGTTTGTAAGTCTCCTTGGAGACAACGGAGCGGGCCTATTCTTATCCAGACCCAGCTAAACAAAATGGCCTGTGGACTCTGTATCAGATACAGTGTGATGTCAACAAGCACACAGGCTTTTAATACATATTTATTTTGGGGGCAGCGAGAGTCACAGGCCGAATAGAGGAACATATGTTAAGATAGAGTGTACTCTCTGGCTCCCACAGAGTCAGGTCAGGAGAGGCCTCCTCACAGAGAAGTAGGTCTTTTGAGGACAGTAAAAAATCCTCCACAGAATCGAGTCTGACTCAAGCGACCTGACAATGATCCACTCTTGTAGCTGAACCAGCCGTTAGAGCAAACTCAATCCTAAAGCATTTGAGGCGCTCATCTGTGCTGCAGAGACCAGAGAGGGCGCAGAGGTGTGTGTTCTCTCTCTTGTCGGACAGCAGGCGGGCGAGTGTGCCAGAGAAACAGAGCTGTTCACATTAAGCCGCTTGATTCCTCTAATGCTGTTTTTTTCATCCAGGAGTTACTTGTTTGGACTTGCAATGTCCCAGAGCCGCTGCCAAAGACGTCGAGCATATGCGCACGTCCACGTTCACACACATATACACACACAGATTCTGATGATGACCCATGATTTATCACCAATGTGTGTGAGGCGACAAGGAGGATTCAGTCTGGGCATCTTTGCAAGATTCCAAACTGAAATAGATACAGCAGGACGTGATGATTTAGACTCATTAACTCTGACAGCTTCTTCGCCCAGTAAATTAAGCATAACAGAGTAATTTACATGCACTCATTACTGCTGTATAAATAAGGTGGACAGATGAGCTGAGACATTATTAACTCACAACTGAAATTCTAGGATCAGCTTTGTCTGGACGAAGGTAATGTAATGTTCTCTTGGATCCTTGAGCGAATGCAGGTGATGTAACTGAATCCAGTTTGTACTTATTTCATATTATTTCATTCTCCAACATGCACAGCATTGTAGTGTTCTGTTGTTGTGACTTTTACTTTCACTTTAGTGTCCAAGCAAAATTCAGATACCTCCTGTTTTTATCTTGCCCATTATTTACCCTTATCCAGAAAATCTTCTGTGCATCACAGCTGATCCCCTCCATCCCTCTGTCCATTTCTCCAGTCCGCTCCTCGCCAACGCCCTATCGGCGGCCGCAGTCTTTCCTGAGGATGTGGAGGAATTTGCGAACCAGGTTCGACTTCCACGGTTTAACGAAGCTCTTGGTGTTGACCAGCAGTCGGCCGGTCTTCCAGTCCTCGTGTCCCGCCACCACGTATTCTGATCCTGGAGAGAAGGACAGAGCAGAGCATCTGTGACTTTGACTTCTTCTGAGAATGTTACAAAAATACACAAAACAAGAAGTAGGTATGATTTGTTATATTCATTGTTATAATTAAATGGTAAATCATTTGTATCTATATAGTTATTTCAGTCTTGACGACCGCTCAAAGCGCTTTACACTACAGATTTGCCATTCACCCATTCACACACATTTATACAGTGCATCTATGTGCAGTACTTTCTCTAACACACATCCCTCACACACTGCCAACACAGCCATCAGGGGCAAATTGGGGTTCAATGTCCTGCCCAAGGTAGGTGGGGATCAAATAGCCAACCATCTGGCTTCTGGACGAGCCGCTCTACCTCCTGAGCCACAACCGCCCCACAAAAGCTGTCAATACTTATAACCTGGCATGTAAAGCCCTCGATTGTCCATATGCGGATAAAGTTTTACACCCAAACGTCCACTTTTGGATACCCCTCTTTATAAGGGTGTGTCTCCCACTTCGCCTTTTCCCTTTCTGTTGTTGTACACCACAGGAGAGGTACGTGAAATTTTGGTCCTCCGGTATGTTAGCCTTTTTTTTAATTATGTTTGTAAGTTAACCCACTAGTTATAATGCTATATGTTTGTGTTGTTTTATTTTGCTCTTATTGCCAGAATAAACCTGTCAAGACATTCATGGTCCGGCCCTCACATAATTTAATTAACACGTTAAATACTGTGCTGTGATGGTTGGCTTGGGTTAATGTTGCTAGTTAGATATTAAATAGTCTTGTAACAGAGATATGGCTCTAATCTTTAAGCTGTAAATGTCAAATCAAAATGAGTGATGCTGGGACCCTGGCGCCCACTCAGAAGTCTCTGAGGAGCGACACAAAGCTGGCAGGTTATCGACTTGAGATTCTACTAATTATACGATTTTGCATCGTGAGCAAGTTTCTGATTGGAAGAGGCTGCTGTAGTTAACCTGGGTTGAGGATGGGACATGTGCAGCCTTGGGTGGTCCAGGACTCTGGGTAGAGGGTGATGCTTCTCCTCTGGATCTTCATCTGACGACTCTGGTACAAGACCTTCTTCACTTTGACCTCCACCTCGGCGTGGGAGCCTTTGTCATGAGCTGACATTACCTTTACAACCAGCACTGCCGAGGAGAAACATCAATACATCTCTCATACGTCACAAATCACAATTTATCAATATTAATTTTACACTTAAGGCACAGTATATCTCTTTCATATCACATTTCTGAGAATAAAGGGGAAGAAAATATATTTTAGAAACCGAAATCACTTCACTAGTCATGAGGCACACTATCTATACTCTGATTTATTCAATGCACCAATGCACCAACAGAGGCGGGGAGGAAGAAGGGGACTTCTAGCAGGTAAGCACAGATAAACACTGTGCTGCTTTCAAGATTGTAGAAAATATTGTTTTAAATGTTGTATTTGGAAGGAAACAAATTCTTTGTGTCTGGTAAATCTCGAGGAGGTGTGTTTGGGGAAAAAAATCTGAATCAGAAAATTGATCCCAGACAAGCACATAGAAATATATACAGACCTAAATAATTATAATAATTAAAAACATAATGTATGAAAATGATGAAACTGTTTTATTTATGTATAAAAACTGTATGTATTTTTAGGACCCCCACAAAAATGAGAAGGTACATCTCAAGGGGTTTGTCCTAATAAATACATTTGAAGTACAAATAAGTGCATTATTGAACAATATAGATAGGAATCATATAATGACAATATGTCAAAAAATGTATAATTGTGATTGTGGTGGTGGCTCGTGATGGCAGCTGATCGTGGATAATGATTACCACTAGACTACTACTAGATTACAACTAGATACACAACATGCCTACTCACATTTATTACAATTAGGGGCAATACTGCTTTCATCAGACTTTCTCTTTAAACATTGATAAAACTCTCCATTTATATTAGACACTGTGCTCTGGTCTGGACATCTATTCCACTTCTGTCTATCCCTCCTCTGTATCCCTCGGTTTTTGAGTTATTCCTCACTCTTGTTGAGGGTCAAGTGCAGAGGATGTTGAACCTTGTTAAGCCCTATGAAGCAAATTGTGATTTGTGAATAATAATAATTATACATGAAATATAAAAATGTCCAATGGAGCAAGTATTAA